TAGGGAGCCCCATGTATAGAGCATTACAGTAGTCCAGGCGGGAGGTGACGAGGGCCTGAGTGACTGTGCGCAGAGCATCCCGGTCCAGAAAAGGGCGCAACTGGTAGATCAGGCGAACCTGATAAAATGCCCCCCTGGTCACGGCCGACAAATGGTCTTCCAGTGTCAGCCGCGGATCCAGGAGGACACCCAAGTTGCGCGCCCTCTCTGAGGGGGCCAGAGTTTCGCCCCCTATAGACAGCGATGGAATCAGCTGGCTATGCCGAGGCGCCGGCAACCACAGCCACTCGGTCTTGGAAGGGTTGAGTCTGAGTCTGTTCCTCCCCATCCAGACCCGTACGGCCTCCAGGCAACGGGTCATCACGTCAAGGGCATCGTTGGGGTGGCCTGGGGTGGAGATGTACAGCTGAGTGTCGTCAGCGTACTGATGGAACTCCACCCCAAAGCCCCGAATGATCTCTCCCAGCGGCTTCACATAAATATTGAACAGTAGGGGCGAGAGGACCGACCCCTGAGGCACCCCACAAGTTAGGGGCCTGGGAGTCGACCTCTGTCCCCCTGCCAATACAGAATAGAGAATAGAACAGAGAAAGAACAGAGAAAGAATAGAGAATAGAATAGAACAGAGAATAGAATAAAGAACAGAGAATAGAATAGAATAATAGAATGGAAAAGAGAATGAATAGAGAATAGAATAGAATAAAATAGAATAGAGAATACAATAATAGAGAATAGAACAGAGAAAGAATAGAGAATAGAACATAGAATAGAATATAGAACAGAGAACAGAATAAAGAACAGGGAATAGAATAGAATAATAGAATGGAAAATAGAATGAATAGAGAATAGAATAGAATAAATGGAATAGAATAGAATAGAGAATAGAACAGAGAATAGAATTAAATAAAATAGAGAACAGAACAGAGAATAAAATAGAGAAAGAACAGAGAATAAAATAGGGAACAGAATAGAATAGAGAACAGAGCCTAGAATAGAATAGAATAAATGGAATAGAATAGAATAGAGAATAGAACAGAGAATACAATAATAGAGAATAGAACAGAGAAAGAATAGAGAACAGAACATAGAATAGAATAGAGAACAGAATGAATAGAGAATAGAATAGAATAAATGGAATAGAATAGAATAGAATAAAGAATAGAACAGAGAGCAGAATAGAATAGAGAACAGAGAATAGAATGGAAGAGAGAATAGAATAGAATAAATGGAATAAAATAGAATAATAGAGAATAGAACAGAGAATAGAATTGAATAGAATAGAGAACAGAACAGAATAGAATAAAGAACAGAATAGAATTAAAATAGAATAGAATTAAAATAGAACAGGATGGTTGCAGTGGGGAAGTCTCTCTCTCTCTCTCTGTGTGTGTGTGTGTGTGTGTGTGTGAGACACAATCATTCCAAGCAAAGTCAATAGGGGAGGAGTCAGATCCACTTTGTGACCGTGCAATTTGCTTAACAGCCACGCGGTGTGCTAAACAGGCGCAGCTAAAAAAAGTTGGGCACGATTCGCTTTAACGACATAGCAAGGGAAGCCCCAACGGTGGTCGTTAAGTCGAGGACTACCTGTGAGTTCTTGGGCTGACGACGACCGGTTCCCCCTTTTTCCCCGCCCGCAGCACGAAGTCGCTGGTAAGCCCCGTGGCGGAAAAGGGGAGACCTCGCGTGGGTCAAACCCACCCACCCTGCGGGGAGGCTGACTGGCGGGCTCAGCAGCCAATTGGCATCAGGCAGCTGCCTCAGGACCGCCTCCCCTCCCAGAAGCTGGTAGGAGCACAGGCAGAGTTGTGACCCAGAGACAAAGGACCTCCCCACACACATACCTGTGACGGGGGGGTTATTAGGGTCTCGGGGGGCAGCCCGCCTCTATGGAACAGCATGCAGGGAAAGAAGTTCTAGAAGAGGCCAAATAACGTTCAGAGGCCTGAAAAGGAGGGCCTATGGACTTTCGCTCATCTCTGGTTTTTTTTTATTTTTAGTCTTTTCGGGTCTTTGTAAAGCAAAGGGTTGAGGGGACACGTCTTATGGCGCAGTCCTCGGCTTACGACGGCAACGGGAGCCCAGAATCTCCACAAATCATCCAGAAAAGCTTTTAAGAAAGTCAGGAGGGTCCCACTTTACCACTTTCCTTTGTTGCAGTTTAAGGTCATTAAGTGAACCATGCGGTCATTAAGCGGATCTGGCTCCCTCCCCACTGAATTTGCTCGCAAAAGGGGATCACGCGGCTCCCCCCAGGGATGCTGCGACCGTCACAAGCACGAGTCATTTGCCAAGCGTCTCAATTTTGATCGTTTGAACGAAGGGTGGCCGCAATGTTCGTTAAGTGTGAAAACCGGTCAAAAGTCACTTTTTTTCAAGGCCACTGTGACTTCAAACCGTCACTAAATGAATGGCTGTAACTCAAGGACTATGTGAACTCCTTAGCCCTGAAAGTCAGCCTCACCCTGCTGTTCTGCTCTTCTGGCAATGGGGGATTGTCAGAGCCTGCAGTCTTATTGCGCGAGATAATCCGGGAGTAAACACAGTAAACAGTGGTCTGTATTAAATGGTGGTTTATCTCACACTACCTACAATATCATACACCAGGAACAATATACATACATGTGCTAGTACAGCAGGATCCAACAAACCACAATTACATCAGGAAATGGAAGAGACAGAACACATCAGCGGAGTCTTCCCTTTTATACAGAGGCTCTTAAAGGGACACAGACCCTGCGGAGTCATTCCCATCATTACATCTTACATTACATAAGCTGGTTAACTCTTAAATATTACCCTAATAGGGATTTAAAAAATTGGTCAGGAATGAAGACAACCCCCCCCCATCGCTCTCACCACACAAAAAGCTGTGCAGGTAGTTCTTGATTTACAACAGTTTATTTAGTGACCGTTCAAAGTTATTAACGGCACTGAAAAATATTGACTTACGACCCTTTTTCACACTTATGAACTTTGCTGCAGCATCCCTCAAAATTCAGACGCCTGGCAACTGACTCCTATTTACGATGGGTTGTAGCGTCCCCGGAGTCACGCGATCCCCTTTTGTGACCATCTGACATGCCAAGGGAAGCCAGATTCACTTAACGACTGTGTGGCTCACCTAACAACCGCAAAGATTCACTTAATGGTGGCAAGCAAGAAAGGTTGTGAAAGGGGGCGAAACTCACTCGACAAATTTCTGACTTAGTAGCATAAATTCTGGGATCACAATTGTGGTCGTTAAGTGGAGGACAACCTGTATCGCAACATCCCAGGTGCTGGGCCAAGCAGAGCTTTCCCCTGGAAGATGACCACCAACTGTCCCTCGGATTCCGCTGCGGCCGATCCTGTGTGTTCTGGCACAGCCAACCCTACCCTGACGCCTCAGTGGGGTCTGCTAAGCTTGACCCCTTGAGGGGGGCTTCTGGCGGGTCTAGGACACCACTCGCCACAGCCCACTTGCTGCGGGCAACCTGGCAGCGGGACAGCTGGGACAACCCACGTGAGACAACGCAGCGGAATTAATGCCTCCGGCCACCGGTTTTTCCACCTTATTTCCATTTGGGTCCATGGAAACAACGTCCAAGAAACGGTGACAGGTGATATTGATCGTGCTGAGTTATCCCATGTCTGGATCTATCCTGTGGTGAGTTGGCCAGGGCAAATGGGCCACGCTGGGTTGGCCGTAAGATGGCCAGGGCGAGACGGCCACGGGGGAGATGGCCACGGCAGGTTGGCTGCGGAGAGATGGCCACGGCGAGATGGCCACACCGGGTTGCCCATAAGAAGATGGCCACATTAGCAGGCTGCGGAGAGATGGCCACAATGAAATGGCCACGGCGAGATGGCCACACCGGGTTGCCCATAACAAGAGGGCCACGCGAGCAGGCTGCAGGGAGATGGCCACGGCGAGATGGCCGCAGCACGTTGGCTGCAGGGAGAAAGGCACAACGATAAGGCCGCGGCAAGATGGCCATGGGGAGATGACTCCGGTGAGATGGCCACGACCAAATGGCCACAGGGAGTTGGCTGCAGTGAGTTGCCCCATTCTGTTTCTAGCTGTGGAAGACCCTCCCCCCAAATCTTTGGGCTGGCCCGGTTCCAGGGAGCAGCAGAGTGGACTCCCCCCTCTTCCCAAACGAATTCAGTTCCAGAAAGAAGTCAGGAGGGGCTGGGTCTTCCCAATCCAGGTTGCTTTTCATGCACCCCACGTTCCGACGAACCCCGGTCCCCTATCTGGGCAAAGGGGAGGGGTGCGCTCCTCTACACACACCCCTTGTGGCTCCAGCAGAGGGGCTGAGACCGGATCAGAAGGCTTGGCGAGGGAAGGACGCTGACCTTATTGTTAGCGGAGGTGACTTTTTGCCTGGGCGGCGTGTCTCGGCTGGGCAGGCAGGAGTCCCCGCTGTTGTCAGTGTCGCTGTCGCTGTGGCTGAGTCTGAAAAAAGGGAGGGTTGAGAATCAGGGGAGGAGTCGGGGTGGGGAGAGACAGAGCCCACCCACCCCAAGTAGGAGAGAAAGGCAGGCAGAGGTTAGGAAAGGCCCCAGAAACTGCTTCCTGATCACAAAGGCTTGCAGAGAGGACCAGAGGCGAGCTGGGAGACACACACCCACACCCACACCGCCAAAGGAGGAAGGGCATCGGATGCCGTTCCTGCTCTCACCTGGCCTCTCTGCTGATGGGGGTGGACTTGACCGCCACTTCTTCTCCAGAAGAGCTGTCGTCATCGTCCGATTCTTCTGACTGCAGGTCCTCCACCATGGAACGCAGCGGCCCTGGAAGCAGGAAGCCCAGCCGTTAAAAAAAAGTGGGGGGGGGGGGATTGGAGAAGAAGTCCCAAAGATGCTTTTTGTCCACGAGGCAACTGGACTTCCTTGCTTTTTGTTTTTGAAGACGTTTCGCTTCTCCTCCAAGAAGCTTCTTCAGCTCCGACTGGATGGTGATGAAGGGAAAGATTTATACTCCTTGCAGACTGCTGGTCATTTGCATTCCTTTAAAGAGCCGTTGGGGCCACTTGGAGGTTTATCTCTGTATCCTCAGGGCGAGTAGTGCAAAAGGGTGTGGAGCCTGAACAGTCTCAAGAAGGCTCCACACCCACTTGCACCACTCAGGTGACCCTGAGCACACAGACAAACCTCCAAGTGGCCTCAACGACTCTCAGAAAGGAATGCAAATGACCAGCTGTCTGCAAGGAGTATAAATCCTCCCATTCTCCACCCTCCAGTCAGAGCCGAAGAAGCTTCTTGGAGCCATTTGATGTTGTCAGGAGTTCCAAGAAGGCCCCACACCCATTTGTACCACTCAGGTATTTTTGCAGGCCAAATGGGAACCCCAGTCCAGCCTTCCAAGAGTAACGGCTTGTCTATCCATTGCGTTTTTCTGTTTTCTCATCCGATTCTTCCCGGGCCGCTCCTTTTCAAAGGGGTCTTTTATTGGGCAGGTGTGGCCCGGTGAAAAATTAAGATCGGAAAAGCAGCCTGCAGGTTGGAGGGAGGCAGCAGATCCTCCTCCCACACCTGAGCGCAGGCCTCTGCAGACGCCTCCGTGCGGTGAGAGGGCCAGCGGGAATTGGCTTTGCAGTCAGCCAAGGCCCACAATTTCTCAGCGGGGCATGAATTTTGTCAACGCTGCAAATACTGTATATTCTTGCTTTGACAATATGCAGAACTGTCTGGTATTTTTATAGTTAAACCAGGCAACTGGGAAAAAGGGAGGAGAATAAGGATAGCCCGGGAAAAAGAAACCGGAAGTAAATCACATCTTCCAAGTTAATTGGAAGATGTGAACCATGACCCCAAAATAAGGGGGGGGGGAAATGCTTAGAATGTATATGCGTAACGGAAAAGAAGCCAGATCTAACCATTTCCACCATGCCGTACTGACGTCTCTGTAACCTTAATAAATGCTTTTAGGAAAAATTATGCCTGAAAGTCCTTTTAAGTGTTTCGTTAATCAGACACATGACAAATTTATTTATTTAAAAAAGAAACAAAAAGTAACCCCAAAGACGAAAGGAGCTAAGCCTCCAGAAGCTTTGGGGGGGGGCATTAGGGACCCATTTGCTCTATTTCCTATCTTCCCCAATGAGGAAAAAAAAAAATGCCCTGGGGAACTTGAAAACTGTCCAGGAGAGACAAGGGGATAATAATTCCTTCTGTTCAGGTTTTTCCCCAAGAGGTCCTGAAGGAGCTCAGAGCCTCGGACAAGGCAGAGCATCCACAGGCTTTGGGTCTCAGCCTGGGCAACTTTTAAGGTGGGTGGACTTCAACTCCCAGAATTCTGAGAGTTGAAGCCCACCCGTCTTAAAGTTGGTTCTGTTGAACACCCATTTTAAATTTAGTTTTAATTCTCCATGCTGGCTAGGGAATTCTGGGAATTGAAGTCCACCCATCTTAAAGTTGGTTTGATTCCCCATTCTGCCCGGGGAATTCTGGGAGTTGAAGTCCACCCATTTAAAATTTAGTTTAACTCTCCATGCTGGCTTAGGAATTCTGGGAGTTGAAGTCCACCCATCTTAGTTGGTTTAATTCTCCATGCTGGCTGGGGAATTCTAGGAATTTAAGTCCACTGATCTTAAAGTTGGTTTAATTCTCCATGCTGACTGGGGAATTCTGGGAGCTGAAATCCACCCATTTAAATTTTAGTTTAATTCTCCCTGCTGGCTTAGGAATTCTGGGAGTTGAAGTCCACCCGTCTTAAAGTTGGTTTAATTCTCCATGCTGACTGGGGAATTCTGGGAGTTGAAGTCCACCCATTTTAAATTTAGTTTTAATTCACCATTCTGCCTGGGGAATTATGAGAGCTGAAGTCCACCCATTTAAATTTTAGTTTTAATTCTCCATGCTGGCTTAGGAATTCTGGGAATTGAAGTCCACCCATCTTAGTTGGTTTAATTCTCCATGCTGGCTGAAGAATTCTAGGAATTGAATCCATCCATCTTAAAGCTGGTTTAATTCCGCATTCTGGCTGGGGAATTCTGGGAGTTGAAGTCCACCCAAGGTTGAGAAAGGTCCCAAAGGGCGGACCAGGCCTCTCAGCTGCAGGACAGAAGCCGTGACGCCAAAACCCACCTTAAACGAGGACGGGGGTTTTAAGGGCCCTTCGGTGGCTGGACGGCCCCTTCCACCCTTCAGAGGCGGCTGAGCCGTGGGGAGGCTGGTCGGGTCGGCAGCTGACCGGGACTAAGGCTTAATCCAGGCCTAGGCCTTGGGGGAAGGGGCAAGGGATTGCCGACCAGGACTTAGGGAACAGTATCAATATACAGATGGCCCCTCTGTCTCTGGTCACGTGCAGAGTCGTGGATGCAGGGTCATGAAAGGACAGCAAGGACCACACCCAATGTCCTAACCCAGTGATGGCAAACCTTTTAGAGACTGAGTGCCCAAACTGCAACCCAAAACCCACTTATGCATCATCAGGTGCCGGGTAGATGTGGCCCATTGGGTCGGCGTGGCCCATTGGGTGGGTGTGGCCCATAGGGGGGCATGGCTGTGGTGGTAACAGCAGACTAGGTGGGATTAAAAAGTTCAATCAATCAATTCCAACTTTGCAAGATCTTTTTTTTTTCCCGTGAGAAGTTGAAATTGACTGATTGATTGAACCTTTTTTTTTTTGTACATGGTGGCGGAGGCCTAAAGCGAAAAGGTTTTATAAAATCCAGCTGAAGGCCTAGAACTAGGGGGACGGTGCGCGTGCCCACAGAGAGGGCTCTGAGTGCCGCCTCTGGCACCCGTGCCATAGGTTCGCCACCACTGTCCTAACCCACCCGAGAACATACGGTATCTTTAGGGAAACACCCGAAGGGGGAACATGTTTAGCTGCTTCTGCTTTCTCCCTTCTTATCTACAGTGTGCCAGACTGACTGGGTGCAATCTTTATCTTATGGGTGTCAGCTTTGCTGGGTGGGTTGCTTATGTAACTATACGGAACAAATGCGAGGATTTCTTGCCATTCGCTGCTCCTCTCATTTAGAGGGGCCCGTCTCTGTTCAGCTGAATAAGCGCGTAAACTTGAAGGCGACTTCTAGTTTCCTGTATTTCTTTTAACCAGCAAAAGCTCAGAACCTGCATGCCAGGACCCCAAGCCACGCACCTTGACTGTGGTTCTGAGACGGCTCAAAATCAGAATCGGAGCTGGAGTCGGAACTGGAGCTGGAGTTGGAAGGACTGGATACGGCAGACTTTGCCGCCCCCAGAAAAGGAACAAGAACAGAGATGAATGTCAATAAAACCTTCACTTCATCCATCCATCCATCCATCCATCCATCCATCTACCCGTCCGTCTATGGAGATTCTCCGTCCTCCAGGTCATGGTTGTCCCAAAGGTACTTTTTCAGGAGACAATTGGACTTTCTGGTTTTCCTTTGAAGATGTTTCAGTTCTCATCCCAGAAGCTTCTTCAGTTCTGACTGGATGGTAAGGGAGGACTGAGCAAATTTTGAGGATAAAGGAGAATCCTCTAACCTGCTATCTTGAGAGCCAAACCTGAAACGTCTTTCAAGAGCTGAGACCAAGTTAAGACTGGATCTCCTGGCAAGAGGGGGCGTGTCAAGTTTGGCTACTTGGTCTCAAGAGCAGGCAGACAAAGAAAACTCATTGGTGGATTCTCCATCTCCTGTACTGGAGAAGGGAAGGATTTATATTCCTTGCAGACTGCTGGTTATTTTTCTTCTTTTAGAGGGTCGTTGAGACCATTTGGAGATTTGTCTGTGTCCTCAGGGTCACCTGAGGGGTGCAAGTGGGTGTGGAGCTGAAGGGACGGTGTTGTGGACTGGAGGTAGATGGTGTCCTCAGCAGTTCCAAGAAGGCTCCACACCCATTTGCACCACTCAGCTCACCCTGAGGACACAGGTAAACCTCCAAGTGGCCTCAACGACTCTCAGAGAGAATACTAATGACCAGATGACTGCAAGGAATGTAAATCCTTCCCTTCCCCACCGTCCAGTCAAAGCTGAAGAAGCTTCTGGGATGAGAAGCAAAACGTCTTCAAAAATAAAACAAGAAAGTCCAGTTGCCTCCTGAAAAAAGCAACTTTGGGACATTCATTCATTCACTCATCCATTCAATTCCTCCCTCCCTCCCTCCCCCCCCCGCCTTTTGGTCTCCAGAGTTTTCTCCATTCACACGTGTCTTACAGGTAGTCCTCATCTTATCGCAATCAGGGCCAGAATGTCCGTCGCTAACCAAGGCGGCGGTTAACTGGGTTAAACCCAATTCTAGGACCTTTTGCCCCAGTTGCTGAGCAAATCAGGGTTAAGCAAATCAGGTGGCCGTTAAGGCCCCGTTCGGAGTTACAGCGGCACCGGGAAAAAGCCGCTCAGGGTCATTTTTCACCCTTACGACCGTTGCAGCAGCATTCCCCCACCCCACGGTCACGGGATCAAAATTCAGACGGCGGGCAACTGACTCGTATGTATGACGGTTGCGGTGTCCCATGTGTGTGTGTGTGTGTGTGTGTGTCACATGACCGCATTTTGTGACCTTCTGACAAGCGAAGTCAAGGGGGGAAAAGCCAGGTTCGCTTAACGACCGTATGACTAACTTAGCAACGGCAGTGACTCGCTTAACCACGGCGACAAGGTCCTAACTTTTGTCACTTAGCAACAAAAAAAAATTGTGAGGGGGGGGACTCAATTGCGATCATCGCTCGAGGGTTACCTGTAGGCCAGGGGTCCTGCCCTAGCCAGGTGACCGAGTGGGGCGGCCGACCGGCGGTCCGGCCAGGCCCGGGCGCTCACCTCTGACTTGAGCGAAGCCTCGTCCTCCGAGTTGGACTCCTCGGCCACGGTCAGCTCCACGGGCTTCTTGACGGCCTTGGCCTCGCTCTCCGGCTTGGCCTTCTCGGCTTTGGCGCTGGGCGGCTTCTCCTTGGGCGGCTTCTTCTCCGCGTAGGAGGAGGAGGTGGTGGTGGTGGTGGTGTTGGTGGTCCGGTGGGCGTTGGTGGGGAGGGTCTTGGCCCCCTTGGAGCTGTTCTTCTTCGGCTTCTTGCCCGTGGGCTTGGGCGACTCCACCGGCAAGGGCCGCTTGGCCGTGGGCTTCCCTTCGGGGGCCGGGGGCGCCCCCCCCTTGGGCGAGGCGTTCTCCAGCTTGTGCTCCTTCAGGGCCAGCTTGGCCTCCTTCAGGACGGCCTTGGGCACCGGCTTCTCCTCCTTCGGCCCTTTGTTCTCGGCCGCGTGCTTCTTGGAGGGCTCCTTGGCGGCCTTGCCGGCTTCCCGCTCCAGGTCCCGAGCGGCGTTTTTGCTCTCCGAGTCTTTCCTGGGCCTCTCCCGGTGCTCCCGGGTGACTTTGTGGGGCTTGGAGACCTTGCCCCCCTCTTTGCTCACCTCCTAGACACCGGGGGGGGGAGGGAGGGGGGAAACAACAACCACAGAGTAAACAAAGAGTTGGAAGGGACCTTGGAGGTCTTCTAGTCCAGCCCCCTGCCGAAGGAGACCCTTCCTCCTCCGCCTCCTCCAAATAACAAGAGTTGGAAGGGACTTTGGAGGCCATCTAGTCCAACCCCCTGCTCAGGCATTGAAACCCTGTACCATTTCAAACAAATGGCTGTCCGGTCTCTTCTTAATAACCTCCAGTGATGGAGCACCCATAGATTCTGGAGGCAGGTCGTTCCGCTGATTAACTGTTCTGTCAGGAAATTCGTCCTTAGTTCTAGGTTGCTTCTCTCCTTGATTAGTTTCTTTCCTTCCTACCATTTTTCCTTCCTTTCCCTTCCTTCCTATCATTTTTCCATCCCCCTTTCCTTCCTTCCTATCTATCATTTTCCATCTCCTTCCTTCCTTCCTATCTATCATTTTCCATCTCCTTCCTTCCTTCCTTCCTTCCTTCCTTCCTTCCTTCCTTCCTTCCTTCCTTCCTTCCTGAATCATAAGAATCCTAGGGCTGGAAGACACCTCAAAGGTCTTCAAGTCTGACCCCCTGCTCAGTCAGGAGACCCTAGACCAGGGGTAGGCAATCTCGGCTCTTTTATGACTCGTGGACTTCAACTCCCAGAATTCCTGAGCCAGCCACGAGTCATAAAAGAGCCGAGGTTGCCTACTCCTGCCCTAGACCGTTTCAGACAAATTGTTGTCTAATCTCTTCTTAAAAACCTCCAGAGATGGAGCACTCACGACTTCCAGAGGCAAGTAGTTCCACTGGTTAATTCTCCTCACTGTCAGCAAATTCCGGCTTAGTTCTACGTTGTTTCCCTCCTTAATAACTTTCCATCTGTTGCTTCCTGTCCTGCCTTCGGGTTCTTTGGAGGATGGGTTGACCACCCCACCCTCTTCTTTGGGTGGGGCAGCCCCTGAGATATTGGAAGGCTGCCATCATGTCTCCCCTAGTCCTTCTCTTTGTTAAACTAGACATCCCCAATTCCTGCAAGGGCACAAAATCAGAACAAGAGCGGTTAACTCTGGGGACAACACAAAGACTTTGTGTGGTCCAAGTGTCGGCTGAACGAGAGTTTGGTCTTCGGAAGGACCACCGTTACCTACCCTTGGTGTGCAGGATGCTGGTTTTCAGGAGCAGCAACCAGAACACCAAATTAGACCGCTGGAAAACACAGCGCGCACCTTGAATTGTCTCACACAGGAGCCTGCCCTGCCTCTGCTTGAATACAGGCTGTCCTTGACCTACGGCTACAATCGAGCGCAAAATTTATGTGGCTAAGCGAGGCAATGGGGGTTAAGTGAGGATTGTCCCATTTTACGCCCTTTTCTCGCCACAGGTGTTAAGTAAAATGGCTAAGTGAACTTGGCTTCCCCAGTGACTCTGCTCGTCCACAACGTTGCAAAAGGGGATCGCGTGATCCCGGGACACTGCGACCGTCGTAAACATGAGTCAGTTGCCAAGCGTCTGAATTCTGATCATGTGAGCCCTGGGGATGTAATAATAATAATAATAATAATAGTAATAATAATAATAATAATAAAATTGGAAGGGACCTTGGAGGTCATCTAATCCAACCCCCTGCTCAGGCAGGAAACCCTAGACCATTTCGGACAAATGACTGTCCAGTTTCTTCTTAAAACCTCCAGTGTTGGAGCATTCACCGCTTCTGGAGGCAGGTGGTTCCACTGGTTAATTGTTCTGTCAGGAAGTTTCTTCTTAGTTCTAGGTTGCTTCTCTCCTTGGTCAGTTTCCACCCGTTGCTTCTTGTCCTGCCTTCAGGGGCTTTGGAGAATAGCTTGACTGCCTCTTCTTTGGGGCAGCCCCTGAGATACTGGAACTTCCAGTGTTGGAGCATTCACCGCTTCTGGAGGCAGGTTGTTCCACTGGTTAATTGTTCTCACTGTCAGGAAGTTTCTCCTTAGTTCTAGGTTGCTTCTCTCCTTGATCAGTTTCCATCCGTTGCTTCTTGTCCTGCCTTCTGGCGCCTTGGAGAATAGCTTGACTCCCTCTTCTTTGGGGCAGCCCCTGAGATATTGGAACACTGCTATCATGTCCCCCCTCGTCCTTCTCTTCGTTAAATTAGACAGACCCAATTCCAGCAGCCGTTCCTTATATGCTTTGGCCTCCAGTCCCCTAATCATCTTTGTTGCTCTTCTCTGCCCTCTTTCTAGAGTCTCAACATCTTTTTTACATCGTGGTGACCAAAACTGGATGCCGTATTCCAAGTGGGGCCTTACCAAGGCCTTGTAAAGTGGTATTAATACTTCACGTGATCTTGATTCTCTCCCTCTGTTAATGCAGCCCAGCACTGTGTTGGCCTTTTTGGCAGCTGCAGCACACGGCTGGCTCCTATTTAAGGGATTGTCCACTAGGACTCCGAGGTCCCTCTCACAGTTACTACTATTGAGCAAGGTACCCCCTATACTATACCTGTATAGTATAGTAAGTGTGAAAAATGGTCCTGTCGCGTTTTACAGTGCCGGTGTCACTTTGGTCACTAAACGAAGGATTATAAGTCAAGGACTACCTTTAGAAAGAGACGCCAAATCCTGCTAAACTCACATTTGCTGAACGACTCCAACTATTAAGAAATTCGGGCCAACTATTTCATTCTGCACTTTGGAACAAGAGAAAAAAGTCGGACCTGTTTTCCACGTCAGGACTTTTTAATCCCCAGAAAACAGCCAGTGTGGTTTTCTCCTATTTTCTATTTCCCACGGGAAAATGACCTCTTTCATTCCCCATTAAAGCAGTTTTCCAAACTCTTTGGTCTTTGGGATATTATGCAATTACCTAGCGTCAATTAGGAGCTTTTTCGAGAATTAACTGTGCTGAGGTTTTGTGGTGTTTTAAGGATAGTCATTTTCCAATGCGCTTTCTTTCCTGGAAAACATCGCATGTGCATATACCTGCGCCTCTGTGAATATTTTTAATTTTCCCTTTCCATTATTTTCATCATAGTCATTAAAATTTAAAAAAAAAAAGGAAGGGTGGGAATTTTGGAGAAGGAGGGGGGGAAGCGTATTTTAGACAGAACTTTCCAGGCAAAATGTATAGAAGGAAACCACTGCAAAAAAAAAAAGAAAAAAGTAACAAATAAGAAAACAATGCAGAAGTCAGTGCAAGAACACACAGTGGCCATCTTCAACCAGTTCAAAATTACAAAGGGATTGGGGGAAAAAAACCACAAATGACTTATGACAGTTTCAGTAATCAAGGAGAGAAGCAACCTGGAACTAAGCAGAAACTTCCTGACAATTAAGAACAATTAACCAGTGGAACCACCTGCCTCCAGAAGGTGTGAATGCTCCAACACTGGAAGTTTTTAAGAAGAGACTGGACAGCCATCTGTCCGAAATGGTGTAGGGTTCCTGTCTGAGCAGGGGGTTGGACTAGATGACCTCCAAGGTCCCTTCCAACTTTATTATTATTATTATTACTTACGACCGTTGCAGCATCCCCCAAGGGTCACGTGATCAAAACCCCAGACGCTTGGGGACAGGTTCATACTTACGACGGCCATGGCGTCCCTGGGGGTCACGCGGTCCCGTTTTGCGAACTTTTTGACCGGCAAAGTCAAGGGGGGGGGCAGATTCACTTAACCACCGTCTTACTAACTGAACGACGGCGATTCGCTTAACGCCTGTGGCAGGAAAAGTCGCAAAGTGGGGGGCAAAACCCACTTGAAATGTCAGGTTGCGCTGTGGTCGTTAAGCCGAGGACCGTTGGTGTCCCAGAGTGACTCACCTTTGATCCGTGGGATGGTTTGGACTTCTTAGGATCAGAGAAGGCCGAGAGGGGGATGGTGGGAAGCATGGGGTAGTCGGGGCTCGGCCTGGAGACGGCTTCTGCACCTTCCGGCATGACCATCACCTGGGAAGAGACCAAGCGGTTATTGACCTTGGAGGTCCTGCTTCTCACCTGGTTCAGACTAGAGCAAGGGGTTCCCAAACTTGGCCACGTTCAGACTGGTGGACTCCGACTCCCAGAATCCCCCAGCCAGCCAACTACGACACACGGAGTTACTTCTGAGTCGTTCCTTTTTTGCTGTTCGTCTACAGGCAGAATCTTGCCAGATTAAACTAATTATCTGCATAACCGCAGAAAGACTCTGTGAGCTGCAGCTGCCCAAAAAGGCCAACACAGTGCTGGGCTGCATGAACAGAGGGATGGAATCAAGATCACGTGAAGTGTTAATACCACTTTACAAGGCCTTGGTAAGGCCACACTTGGAATACGGCATCCAGTTTTGGTCACCACGATGTAAAAAAGATGCTGAGACTCTAGAAAGAGTCCAGAGAAGAGCAACAAAGATGATTAGGGGACTGGAGGCTAAAACATATAAGGAACGGTTGCTGGAATTGGGTATGTCTAGTTTAAGGAAGAGAAGGACGAAGGGTGACAGGATAGCAGTGTTCCAATATCTCAGGGGCTGCCCCAAAGAAGAGGGAGTCAAGCTATTCTCCAAAGCGCCTGAGGGCAGGACAAGAAGCAACGGATGGAAACTAACCAAGGAGAGAAGCAACCTGGAACTAAGGAGAAACTTCCTGACAGTGAGAACAATTAACCAGTGGAACCACCTGCCTCCAGAAGCGGTGAATGCTCCGACACTGGAAGTTTTTAAGAAGAGACTGGACAGCCCTTTGTCTGAAAAGGGTACAGGGTTTCCTGCCTGAGCAGGGGGTTGGACTAGATGACCTCCAAGGTCCCTTCCAACATCATCATCATCATCATTATTATTATTACTATGGCAGCTTAAAGTTTGATCTAGGCACGGGAAGAAGACAACTTGGTGAACTGCCAAGGAGGATCCATGCTGGCCCTCTTCCTGCCTACCGGGCACTCCAAGCTCCGCTTCCTCTTTGCCCTCAGAGAAGCAGCCCCTCCCTCCAGGGAATCCAGACTACATTCCACTACACTGTCCAAGTTGCCATCAGTGGGCTTTGGAAGAGTTATCCTTTCTGTGCATTCTGGAGGAAATTAAAGAGTGAGGGTTCTTCGGCGTTCTCTGAGTTTGGCTGTTTGCTTGCAGATGCTTCGTTACTTGGCTAAGCAACATCTTCAGTGCTGAACGGAGCGACAGCACTGATGATGTTACCTAGCTAGGTCACGAAACGTCTGGAAGAAAACAAGCATGAAAGGACCCCCCCCCATTTCAATCCTGGGCTAAATATTCTCCTTTCTCAACATTTAGAGGGTTCAGTCTTAATCCGCTGCTCGTCCATTTCACAGTACAGCTGGTCCTCGAATTTCAGCAGTTCATTTAGTGACCGTTCAAAGTTACAATGGCACTGAAAAAAGGGACCTCATATGACCCCTTTTCACGCTTAACGACCATTGTAGCATCCCCGTGGTCACGAGATCAAAATTCGGATGCTTGGCAATTGACTCGTATTTATGACGGTCGCAGTGTCCCGGGGACCACGGGATCCCCTTTTGCGACCATCTAACAAGCAAAGGGGAAGCTGGATTCACTTAACGACCATGTAACTTAACAATTGCAGTGATTCAACGACTGTGACTAGAAAGGTTAGCAATTGGCTCATTTAGCAACAGAAATGTTGGGCTCAATTGTGATCGTAGGTCGAGGACAACCTGCCTCCAGAAGCAGCGAACGCTCCAACACTGGAAGTTTTTAAGAAGAGACTGGACAATCATCTGTCTGAAATGGTATAGGGTTTCCTGCCTGAGCAGGGGGTTGGACTAGATGACCTCCAAGGTCCCTTCCAGCTCTATTATTATTGTTGTATGAGTCCCAGCTCTAGTACTGTTACAAGGAACAAAGGGAACCATGTCTTCCCCCCCAACACACACACTTTTTCTAGTGTTAGTCTTTAATCGGAAACAATCAATATAAAAGCAAAGGGCAACCCATCGTAATATTTTTTTTCCCCCCATTAGATTCCGAGGACACTTTTTCAGTTACTGATTCAGAAATGGCTTTGTTACCAACAAGAGTAACCCAGTACCGTTGTGCCAACTTTTTAAGAAAAGTAAAATCAAGCTAATCAAAATGCCATAAGAGCGGCAGTTAACAAAAGAACTGCCCTGTTTAAAATTTAAAAGGTCCGTAATGTCTAAAAGCTGTCCGGGGAAGCAATCCTTTCATCTCCTATAGGAAATGGTATAGGGCAGTGGTGGCGAACCTATGGCACAGGTGCCAGAGGCGGCACTCAGAGCCCTCTCTGTGGGCACGTGCGCCATCGCCCCGGTCCTGGGCCTTCAGCTGGGTTTTATAAAACCTTTTCACTTTAGGCCTCCGCCGCCGTGTGCAAAAAAAAAAAAAGGTTCAATCAATCAGTCAATTTCAACTTCTCGCGGGGAAAAATTGATTGAACTTTTTAGTCCCACCCGGTCTGCCGTTACCACCGCAGCCCCGCCCACCCAATTGGCCACACCCACCCAATGGGCCACACCCACCCGGCACCCGACGATGCATAAGTGGGTTTTGGGTTGCAGTTTGGGCACTCGGTCTCTAAAAGGTTCGCCATCACTGGTCTAGGGTTTCCTGCCTGAGCAGGGGGTTGGACTAGATGACCTCCAAGGTCCCTTCCAACTTTATTATTATTATTATTATTATTATTATTATTATTATTATTATTATTATTATTATTATTATTATAGTTGTTGTTTTGTTGTTTGTTTTTGTTGTTGTTTTGTTGTTGTTGTTGTTGTTGTTGTTGTTGTTATTATTATTATTATTATTATTATTATTATTATTATTATTATTATTAAATAAAAGGCCAGGATGTCAAACGTATCTCCGAGGTCCAATGCCCAGACGAAAGACACCTCCTTTGAAGATGGAAAACTTGATAGGCAGAAAGAAAAAAAAACCCACCAAACCATTTTTGTTCTCCTAATCCAGGGGTAGGCAACCTTGGCTCTTTTATGACTCGTGGACTTCAACTCCCAGAATTCCTGAGCTGGCACAGCCTTTCTTTAGTGATTCTACTATTCCACCATTTCTTTGATATTAGTGTTGCTCTTCTCCCACTGCGAATTGTCCTAGACCAGGGGGTAGGCAACCTTGGCTCTTTTATGACTCGTGGACTTCAACTCCCAG